ATCTAATGTGCTGCACTGGCAAGGCCTGTACTAGCCTCTTTGAGCAGAGGCTGCAGTCTGTCTTGAATGGCCATCGCAGGGGGCATGAGCTAACTAGGACACAAGGCTGTGAGGAGGACTCTGGGCAGCTGCGAGCAGCCGGCCATGAAGACAAGGAAAGGTGGATGTATCTACTTGCAGGACTCTGTTTTCTTCCCTTTGCCTCCCATTTGTCCTGACTGAGGATGCCGTCTTGCTCTTGGTAATGTATACCCTGCCAACACTGGCTGTTCCCAGCATGTCTTTGCCCTCTGTCCTCCTCCCATGTAGTGTGGCCAACTTGCTGCTGTGGGGAGAAGGAACCCCTTCTCAGCATGGGCTTTACGTTCCTTTGCTGTTGTAATCCTTGGAGGAAGATGAGTGTTAGCTGGTCCTCTAGAATGTCTGAGCTTTGGCCTTGGGTTTGGTCTGTCTGGAGGCACTTGGAAGGAGGTGGGATGATGGAGGGGGCCAGGAATAGTCACATGAGAAAACAGTCTGGATTTCCTAAGGCAGGCAGAGCCATAAGCTGTGAAATGCTTTTACAGGAAATGAAGTGACACAGCAACCTGGGATGTTTTGTCTTTCCTGTCCCTCATGCTTTGGGGTTTCCTTTGGGAAGGTCACTTGGGAATTGGGATGAGTCAAACCTACTGCAATTTGCAGTAACAGAGGTCTGCTCTAGATCGAGCAGCGTGGCAGACATTTGCTATTGGTAGCAAGCTGCTGTCAGCCAGGGTGGTGGGGAACCAAAATGCCCCTCTCATGGCAAGGGGAGGATTGCTGGTCAGCACCAGGGCTGTTGTGCTGCACACTGCCTTGTGTAGCTCAGCTGGGGGACCTAATACACAGCAGGCATTTCATGGCCCTGGCCCTAGCTCTTTCCCTGGGGACCCCAGGAGGGTGTTGTCATGGCCTTTAGCCTCTGCATCCTACTGTCTTACCCCACTTTGGTGCAGCTTGCTTTACTTGTCCTTCCCAGACTGCAGCAGCTGCAGTTGCTTGAGGGCAGAGAGGCAAGAGTGTGCTAGCAAGCCTTGAGTTCTCTGTCACACTTTCCCTTGGGGAAGCTCTCAAAGCAAGCTGCCATCGGCTTTCATCCCAGTTCATCTTAAAGCATGTAATTGGCATACCTACCCATCCTGATGAAGAACCTGCTGCTGTCCCAGTTCATTGCTCCTGTTTGCTGGCAACAGGGACTTGGTTTCTGAAAGTAGAGTAGGTCTCTCCTCCCCTCTGCATGCATCAGTGGTGTCTCGTGCATACATCACTTACTGCCTAGGGAGTATCTTGACTTCAGAAAGCTGTGGCTGAGAGTGCGTTCCAGGCAGTATCTCAACGCTCGCATCCCGTTTGTGTGCTCTTCCCTTAGCACCTGCTTTGGCCACTATCAGAGGTGAGCTTAAGGCTGGACACCCATCTGAGCAGAGGAGGTAAAGCTGCTTTTACAAACTGCTCTAGGTGGCTAGCCAGTCTGGAGGACGAGCTGCCCGGCATGCCCTTCGCCTGGGGTGTCTGGTCCTGGCTGGCTGCCCTCTGCCATCTAGTGGGAAGCTTTATAGGAAATAGGTGCTGCACAACAACTGACCAGGGGTGCAGGAGTGTCCCATAGCTTGTGAGCCCCACTGAACATTTGGTATCTCTCCAGAAGTCCAGTCTCAGAGGTGGAGATCACCTTGAAAGGCAAACCTGAGCTGTCAAAGTCAGGAAAAATATTGAGGAGCTGCTAAACGGCTGCTATTGAAGGTTTAGCCCACGACTGTGCATCTGGTAAGGGCAGTGGTGTTGACAAGGGTGCGTGGAGGGCCAGTGCTTGGAAAGGTGGATGTGCTCCAACATTTGTGGGTGGCATGGGAGCTACAGGCAAAAGCCAGGGAACCTGGCTGCTGCCACTTGAAGAAATCAGTGCAAATGTTCAGGAAAATAATCCTGCTCAGAGAATGAGCTGTCACTCACCAGTGGTCAGTAAGCCAAGCACTGAACAGCCCAGGGTGCCAGCAGAAAAAATGTACCATGCCTGCTCAATGTACCTCCTCAGCCAGCAGCAGTGGTGGGGTGTGTGGTCCTGCTTGGTACCAGGTTGAATAAGGAGGAAGAGCAGAATGAGTGAAAAGTAGGAGCTGCTTTATTTTGTTGCATGTTTAAAAAGCCATGACCAGGAAAGGGAATTTTTGGCTGACTGACCATCCCAGTTAGTGATGGAAAGAAGGCAGCATTTTTGAAGATAATACCAGGAAATGGTGAGTACATCTCACCAGTAAATGACCAGTAGTGGAGTGTAGGAGTACTGGAGTTGCAGCATGCTGTCAGACTGTCCTGTTGGAGCTCATTTTCCTCACTGCTGTCAGTCACTGTTGCTTTCAGAGTGTTACACGGTCATGTTCACCACAACTCGGTATAGAGGAAGTCCTTGAGGTAATTCCACAGCTCAAGAGCAGTTCCTACTTATTCTTTTTAATTATATGAGCAAGTAGATCCAGATTTATAACTTATCTACCAAAAAGTTCAGTGACTTGAGGGGATCACAGAGTGATCAGTTCTGGACAAGACCATGGGGTAGTTGTTGTGGGATTTGGCTGAAGTGTTCAGAGAGGTGTACCGTTTTGATCACTGTGGATCGATCCTGTCCTATAGAGATCTGCAGGGATTAGTGTGAGACCCACTGCTGTCCAGTACTGGCGCTAAACACCCAGCAGTGACACAAATCTGGGTGATGCAGGGATTGGTTAAGTAACAGATCAAAAGAGGGTAATCAGGGACAGCCAAGCTGCTGGGGAGCACCCTTTTAAAAATTGTGTGCTCTTGTGCTGCAAGTAAGTATGTTTAGACTCCCGAACAAGTGTGCTAATCAATGTGGGAAGGATAGTGGTATTTTAGAAAGCACTGTTTTGAGAAGGGGTTGGAGTTGCAGGGTACAAGCTATACCTGAGCTAGTGAGATCTTCTGAGTGCTGCAGGGGGTGAAGAGCAGAGGGTGGAAGGGGGTAACCACCTTCCTACATGTGGTATGGGAAGGACCAGGGGCAGAATACAGGTCTCCCACTGTGTAAAAGAGATCTTGAAAACTGGAGAGGGGTAGAAAGAGAAGAAACAAGCTTTGAAGTGCCTTATCAGAGATAAAAGAGCTGCCCAAGTGGGCAGAGCTGATCAGTATGCACTTAGTCTTCCCTGAGGAAAAATACCAGGTAATGACAGGACTCCTGAGTGCCTCAGAGGGGAGCATGAAGAGCTAATGAGTGGATTAGTTTGGATAAGGAGCATGTTTTTACAGTGAGAACAACTGCCAGGTAGAATTATAATCTTTCAATATCCTCAGATTAAGACTGAATAGCCTTACGGAAGTTTTAATCTTTTGGAGATAACTTTTCCATTCAGGTAACTATCATGACTAGATCAGTGCTGTATGGAAAATTTGAGTAGATGTTCTGTCCTTGCCATATACATTCAAGCCTCATTCTTCTCTGTGGCTTGTCTAGGGACTAGGGACACTCAAAGTTAGCACTGGTTAGTGATGGTGTTAGCTAAGCTTAGCCTCTTTGCAAGCTTTTCCTTAGTACATCTGGTGTAGTTGCTGTACCCCATCTTTCTGGCTAGCACTCAGTCCTGCCCTCCCTGCCCTAGAGGTGGCCTCTTTGTCTTTGGCCACATTCCCCACAGCTCACTCCTCACCTTGCCTAAGTATTTCTGGGGAGCAAGAAGCCTGCCCTAGATGATAAGATTTCCTCCCTTCCTACAAGCGGAGGCTCAGAGGGGAAGGGTGGACAGAGATGGGATCACTGCTTGCAGTGCTGGGGCGCACAGGGTACGAGGGCTTAGGGGGCTGCAGCCCTGGGCTTTGGCTAAAGGAATCCAGGCCATCTGGCAAAGAGGCGGACAGAGCTTGCCTGCGCTCCCAGCTTCCTGACTTCTGGTCTCCACCATGCCCTGCTATCCAAACACAAAGGACAGAGCAGCAGGGTTGCAGTCACAGTCCAGCAAACCTTGTGCACAAGCTAAAATAATTTTAGCAGGGAGGGCAGGGGCATAGTAGGAGGTGCATGCTTGCTAAGCGCTAAACCTGTCCTGCAATACGGCTGGCTGTCTTTCCCTTTCCAGGATCATTCCACCTCTGGGCTGTTCTACACTGTTGCTGTATGTTAGCATAGCAAGAGCAGGGTTTTTTTCCCTTAAAAAAAAAAAGGCAAGGAGGAATAGATTTGGCCCTCAGAGCACAGTGTGTCAGACAGAAAGGTATTTGATAGTAGCCCATCTGTTCTTCAGGAAGGGTGGCCTAAATCTCAGGTACAGCACACTGGTATCTACAAAAGTCCTGGGTACCACTGGCTGCAGCAATGCAGACATTGAGCGTGGAGCACAGAGGCTAGCTTGCAAAACATGAGAGTGCCAGTGTTGCTTGTAAAAACGTGTCTGGCCTGGGCTCCCTGACACATAGTTCCTTGCAAGTAGTCTCCATGGGAGTCCTGCTGCAGGCTTCTAGGCAGGAGGTCGGGGTGGCTGGCTGTCTCACAGGCACTGACTAATGCTTCTAGCAGCAAAAGTAGCTCTTCTCGCTCAGCCTCAGGCTCCTTCATGGGTTTTTCCTGGAAGTGCCACTTACCAGACTGAGTCCCCAGGATGTGAGGTTGTCAGGGTGGCTCTGCTCTATGAGGCTTCCTGCGGGGCTGCTGCCTCCCAGCTTCCCAAGTCAGCTCTGTGTGGTACTGTGCGAAAGAAGAGCTGAGTTGTGATGTCTGCATGGGAACATTTGCCTTAACTAAGTCCAGGATAAGAGTGGATTTAAGTGCTTTGGTTTATAAATAAACAGCACTGTGGCCAAGGTAGGTTTAAGCAGAGCTGGCAACAGCTCTACTTGGGAAGGGATCTCTTTACCACATGGCCTGCTGTTGGACTTCCTGTTGCATGCTAATCCCTTAAGCCTGCTTTAGCTCTGTTAATTTTCCTTCTTTCCTTTTTTCCCCAATGGGCTGTCTTGGTGGCGCGTGAATGCCAGTGTTCCTCGGCCAAGCGTGTGCCTGCGGCTGGGCCAAGCATCCAGGCTGCCTTCCGAGCACCGGGTACCATGTGGCAGGGCCCCAGGGATGGTGGTGCCTGAATGTGTCCCATTCTCTCTGTCTTACAGGCTCTGCAGTCTGCGCCTGAAGAAACTCACGGTGCTGAAAGAGCTGGACAAAGAGCTGAGCTCTGTGCTTATCGCTGTGAAGATTCAGGTAGGCTTCTCTCCTTCCTGCTGCCTGATGGTAGCAAGCCCATCCTTGTGCCCTCTGTGAAGTGCTGGTCTGCATGTCCCTTGCCTTGTGCCAACCTCTTGCTTCCGTCTTCGTTAGCCCCTAGGGAGACTTTGGCTCTCAGGCAGGTGGGAATGATGCCCCAGGGACAGCAGCAAGCTGCCTGGCGCTGGTTTGTATCAGGGATGAATTTGGTTAGGCCTCTGTACTGGGACAGAGTGCGTCTTGCTTCCCTGCCTGCCTCAGCCAAGGCCCTCCTCTTGAGCTGCTGTTCAGAGTTTGGCATCCCCTACCCCACCATTCCTGACCCCTTAGACAGGCTCAGTGCTGGGTGGTTTCTGGCAGTGCCCTCCATCCAGATCCCCGCCGTGGGGAGTGAAGGGTGGGAAGGGAAGCGTGCAAGGGATCAGTGGTTCTGTGCATGACTTCTGCTGACATTTGCACCCTGTGTGATCTCACTGCTGCCTCTGCTGTCCCCTCCCTTTCTCTGTGCATCCCTGCTAGGCCTGGTGCCTCTACTCTGAACCAGGCAGAGGGGAGGGGAGAGGATCTTTGTCACCAAGGGGAGAGGGAATTTGCCGCCATCCTGGTATGTGTGATCCTCCTCCCTCCCTCTCTGCAGCTGGTCGTGAAGAGATGGGTCCCTGTGGGTGCAGGCACATCCTTTCCACTTGCCAAAGGACACCATGGAAGCAAGATGCCTCTTGAGTATACTGTCCTCACCACAGCTCCCCCAACCCAGCTAGGATGCTGGTGTCCTTCTTTCGTTCTTGTCAGCTAGCAGAAAAGCTGCTGATCCCATTGAAAGCACAGTGGGGCGGGAGCTCAGCAGCTTTGCACTCCCACAGAGCTCTTTGTGCTGTACACATTAGGATCTAAATCCTGGATTAGTGCTGGAAGCTGCAGTATTAGTGGAGCTCTGGGAGCTGGGGTTTGCCTTCATGGCAGACCTGATTCACTTGCACAGAAGGAACTGAAAGCGAAATGTGTGAAACCCAGGGACTCGAGTGAGGACAGCAGGAGGATGCTGTCCTCCACACACTATTAGTCAGTGTCCCACTTTGCTGGCCTGTGTGTATGGTGCCATTCAGGAGAGCTGAAAGCACTGGGCTTTCAGCCCCGAAACCCCTGAGACCTGTGCTCCTTTGGTGGAGGCCTTAGCAAGGGAACAACCTGGGCAGGAGCGAGCTGCCTGGCCCCTCAAATTGCGGCAGCAGTCAAGGCTGGGCCACAGGTGCCAACAACATGGGACTGGAGGGCTGGGAGCAAGCTGGGGGCTGTGGGTCCCACATGGTGGGGAGGGCTAGGCTGGTCCCTCATTCCTTTTATATCCTGCACTGCCGGCCCAAGATGTCTGTGCTTCTCTGGACTGGGGAACCTTGGGCTCCTGTGCAGCCCCCCCTTATGCTGGGACTGCCATGTGCTGAGCATGTATGTCCTCAACTGCCCCTTCTCTCATGCACTACAAATGTGAGACTGAAAGAGGCTGCACAGTGGGACTCCAGCTCTTTAAGACAGATCACCTCCATCCCTGCCACACGCCAGCCTTGCACCCTGTTGGCAAAAGAAATTAACAGACCTCAGCAGTGACTATTTGAGGCCACAGAGGCTCTACACTGCAGTGCTCCCTCCTTTCCCTGCCAGGGAATGGAGGCTGCATTCAGGGTCTTAATTTAAACATGGTCACTTCCTCTCTGAGTGGCCACATACCCGTGGCTGCATGCTGGTGTAGGCTACCTGCGAAGCTGAAGGAAACTGGAGGAGAATGCTTCTGCCCACATTACCCTGTGGCTTGACACTCACTGTGGGAGTGGGGTGGATTTGTGTGCGTCCCCAGGCTGCTTTCACCTGCCTGGTGAAAGGCAGGGTCTGGGACTGCTGAGCCTTCCTGGAAGGCAGATGGAAGCTGTAGGCAGCTTCAGCGCAGCCTGCCTACAGAATGGCCTCAGATGGATCTATCCCTCCTGCTCCTCTCCTAGGTAACAGATGAGTCACGCTAGCAAGAAGCTGTTTGAAGGCTGCTCAGTGAGTGTTGCCATCTCCATCTTTTGGATGGAAACAGCTGATGCATGTAATTTGTGGAGGACCTGCAAGTTCCCAAGGGGGCAGCTGGGGACTAGTAGAAAGGGGAGCTATATTTTCTTTTCAGTAGTAGCTCTGTTGGGTTAAGGAAGTTGCCTGTCAGGAAGTTGCTGCTCTGAAAGGCAGGTTGCATGGATACAGAGCTCTGATCCTGCCTGAGTGGGGCTGGCACTAAGACAACAGCCCCAGTGCTGGACACACTCTGCTCAATGAATGTACGTGACCCAAAGGATAGTGTAAGCCTGTCTAGAATATCTGATCTCCTCCTCACAGTGATCGTGCCCTTCTGGTCTTAAAAGGCAGCTTCCGAGTGTGGCATGAGCTGTTACCTGCTCCTTCATCTGAACCTTTGACTGCTGTCAGAGGAATAAGGGAGTTTTCTATGTCTACAGAACATACCCATTTCCCAGAGGTGATTTGAATATTTAACGTTCAGTGGCTTCCAGTGAGATAAAGTCTGAACTACTGTGAAAAAGGGAACTTGTATCACTTGAATGGTTTTTAAACCCTTATCCCTCATTATTTGCTTTAACAGACTGGAAATGTCATAGAGCATTTCCTTCTGTATATTGCTCAGCATGGTATTAAGAGATTCAGTTGTGCCTGGCTCAGCTCCGTAAAGGTGCAGCTATCTGTCTTGGCATTGTAACTGATTATGGTGTGAAGGGAAGCATGGTGCTCCCTCTCAGCAGAGAGACTTACTATAATTCAGAAACACCCACTCTTGAGCTGTGAATAGAGGAAACAATCAAAGAAAGAAGAAAACAAGCCCCAGCACTCCCAGAACTTTCAGCTTCTGTGACAGGTGCTGTGGGAGGGGTGCAGATCCTCCTGCAGCTGCTTGCAGAATGTGGCTGGTGACTCAGGTTCGACCCTTGGTGCTGCTGTAGAGGGATGATGCTGGCAGCCCCTACATAGCAAACCAGAACGTGTGCTACAGAAGAGGCCAGGCTGAGAAGCTCGTTTGCCTCTGCCAGGCCTGCCCTGGCCCTGCTCCCTGCAGGAACTCGGATTTTTTGGTCCTTCTTGCTATGCATGGAAAGTACATGCAGAGTTTTCTGTCTACACCTCGCTCATGCTTTGTTTCTAATTTTTTTGCAACCACTTGTAGGATTTTCCACTCCTGCCTGAGTAATCCCAGCTACCCCCTAAATAACTAAATTTGCTGATGATATTTAATGGGCTATTCTCTCCCAAGTGCACGTTTAGCTTGAATTCTGGGTAGTGCTTTGCTGTCTGCCTTGGTCTGGTCTCCCATACTATGTTAGTTCTCTCTCCTTTTCCAGGTTTAGTATGCTCTTCTAGCCTCAACCCTGTGTTTTAAACAAGACCCATCAGGACAGATTTATACCTGAAATTGGGGATTGTACCTTGCAAACCAGACCTGGACGTCATGTGCCTGTGTATAGTAGTGAAAGCTCCTGTATATTTTCAGTCTGTTAGCTAGTGAAGATCTGTGACCACAAGCTCTCCCTATTGCTTTTCACTTCCTTGACAGTCTTTGTCATGATCTTCACTGTAACAGTCTGATGTTAAGTTTTCCTGTAGTACTGATGGTGATACTCAACTGTTCCGCTGAGAAATTGGTCTTGCCTGATATTACTCGAATTGCAGAATAGCTGAGCTACATCAAGTGCTCAAGGCCATGTCCAGCTGAGGTTTGAGTTTGTCAAGGGATGGAGAATCGTTGGTCTTTCTGTGTCCTGTCCCAAGGTTTGACTGTACTCATAGAGAAAAAAAAAGTAAACCCCAACATCTAATGGTAATTTCCCATGTTCCAGCTCATCCCCCTTGCCTCTCACTCTGTCCCTGTGCACCTCTGAGAGGAATTCACTTCTGTCTTCTCTGCACCCTTCTGCTAAGTGTCTGTAGGCAGCTATTAAGTACCCCTTCGCCCACTCTTTTACCAGCTGAACAAACCCAGCTTACTTGGCCTCTCCTTGTATGTCCTGTGCTCCAGCCCCTGACTATCCTGATGTCTTCTGCTGGACTTGCTGCACTTTGTCAATGTCTGTCTTGTACTGGGGAGCCCAAACTGGCCTCTGGAATCCCGTTGTGGTGTCACCAGTGCTGAACAGAGGGGAGGAATCCCTTTTCTCTGCCTGCACATTTGCTGAGGCCAAGATTGGTGTCATTGCTGCAACAGGGCATGCTGCCGATGTAGGGTTACCTTGACGTCCCCCAGAATCCCCCCTGGCCCTTTCTGCAGAGCTTGTCCTGCTGTCTGGGGTTCTTCCCAGGCAGCAAAGTTGTGGGATGTCCTAGGGACGGACTTTGCTTTTGCCTTTATTGAACTTCATGAAGTTTGTGTTGACCTTACTGGAAATCCCAAATTGTTCTTAACACCCTGTTGCTGATAGGCAGGTAGTAGCCCCCAGATGCTAGTTTCTAATCTGTTTCATTGGAGCAATGCTAGTTTCTGCTGGGTTGTGGTTTGCTCCTGAAGGTGATTTAGTGTTTCCTACTGGATATGTGAGTGCCATCCATTTCATGAAACCTAGTGTACCTTGCAGGCTGAACTTGAGCTTTAGGTAGTGGCTTTGCCTTGCTGAGAGGCCTGTACCTCACACATTTGCCTAGCCCTTTTTCTACTCCATGTCCGAAGTGCTATGCTCCATGATGCCCTGGGAGCTGGTCCTGTGAGCTTAGACATTATGATCTTTCTCCTTTCATGTGACCCCACAGGCCAGGTATCTCCTAGGGCTTGAGCTCAGCCAGGTCATTGCACCATAAAGAACTGGCCCGGACCTAAAAAGTGCTGCTGTTTAGGGGTCTCTGAGCACTGCTGCTGCTCCCTTCTGCTTGTGTTGCGATAATGAGCCAGCCTTTGTCGCAGTCCTTGCAATGCCACGTGGATGTGCACCGGCATTTCACTGAGGGCCAATGCCTAGCGTTGGAGCTGGGTGTGTAACTTCCATAGTGGTAAATGACAGTAACACACAGGACAGCAATGTTTATGAAACCTTCACTCGCTGGACGCACCACCCAGGCTGTCCTCACCTTTTCCTTTGCTGTAACTCTGTCCCCAGAAATAGCATCTTCAGGAGGAATAATTGCAGCAGTATGTGTATTTTGATGAAAGAACGAATCTTTGGTGGATAATCTCTCTGCAACAAACAGCAAATGGTAAATGTGCTAAAGTAAATGGTCACTGTCGTAGTGACCACCTATCATCTCTTATTAAAGAAGAGTTCAGGAAGGAAGAGTCAGTGCATTCTTGGCCAGGAAAGCTCACAGATGGTGAAGGGGATGAGCTCCACTGCCTCTTTTCAGTTTTAGGAAAAGGTTTCACAGGAAAGCCTCACTCCCAGCACAGTCGCTGGGATCAATGTTGCAGACAGCTCAGACTTGGCCTCTTGAAAACTGAAGACTGTTTCACTAGAGCTTGTCTTTGGTCGGTGTCAGTGAGAACTGTCATGCTGCATCATTGCAAAACACGGAGGCCTTTCTTGCCTCCCTTCTATAGGTTGTTTGGTTTTTTTCCTTGCTAGCATGGGTAACACCAGCATGCAAGAGGTCCAAGAAAGGCCTTATATCAGTGCCGTCCAGGCTTGCTGGACCCTGCTGAAGTTCCCGTCAGCAAGCTTCCTTGGTGGTCACTGGGTGCTGAAACATGCCTGTGCCCATTGTCATTCTCTCTGATTGCAGAGGGGATGTAGCTGTGGTCTCCTTTACGGTGCCACCTGCATGCTCCTGTCATGACTTCTGGGGCTGCTGTCCAAGTTGCAGTGGAGATGAAGAGCTGGGGGCTCTAACCTCATGGAACATCAGCCAAATCTAGGATTTGCCTAAGTTGCCGAAGGGTCTCTGGCCATGGCCAGCTTAGGATCCTGCTGGCCAAGGCATCTGTCAGGATCAAGCTGGGAAGCATGTGGGGATGCAGTGAGGTCCTGGGAAGGAAGGGGCAACATATATGAGGTGGGACCTAGTTCCTTTTAACTGCTGTGCCTATTTGGTTAGCTTTGACCCATCTGCTTGCTACTCCACAGTTTAAATTAAGGAGGGCTCACAAAAGCAATGGTAACTGATTTGCAAGAACAGCTGTACTGGCCTATCCTGTTGCCTCCCTGAATCAATGTCTCAGCTTGCTGGCCCATTCACAGGGAGGCAGGAGAGAGTGAGGAACCATCATGGGCTATTTTATGCTTGGAGCTGGTCCCACAGCCCTGCAGGGACACAGCTAGAGGGCATGGGCCTTTTGGGAGGTCTGTGCGTTGTGCCACCCTGTGACCGAGAGAGCCTGGTGCATGCAGACAGCTTTTTTCATCCCTGAAGTCATTCAGTGTTTCTGTCAGCAGCCAAGCCATAGAGATATTAAAGATAGGACAGAAGTAAAGGAAAGAGTTGGAGTGGGCACGTGGTTAGAGTGCCTCTCTTACTGTCCTCCTGGGGCAAAAAAACATTTGTATATGTGGAGAGATAAGGACTGCTGCCCAAGGAAAAGACAAGGAGGAGTTTTCTGAGACACAAGCTAGGCAAGTGGGGGGATCCCTGTTCCCCTGAGACATCCTGCCTTGGTCCCAGCAGAGCCATCTTACCAGCTGTGCCTGGGCAGGGGTCTGCACTGGGTCTGTCTGCTGGGTGGCAGAGATGTGCTCCAGGACCTGTCCCTTCCCTGGCTAGGCAGCGTGTCGCGACCCTTTCCTTCCCCTGCTGGTGCTGTATGCATGGCTCCCTCTGGGTCTAGCAGTGTCCCCCTCCACAACATCTGGTGGGCTTCAGGTGCAAGGAGCCAGATTGAGCAGAGCAGGTTTTGGAGGACCAAGTGCTCCCTGGCAGGTGGGCAAGGAGAAGGGGCTTTTGGAAACTCAGGAGAAACTGCAGGCTTTTGCGAAGCATTGATTGGCGTGTGTAAGGTGGTTCTGCGAGGTGGAACAGAACAGAGTCAAGGCACTGGCTTTTTACTTGTGGACTGTCAACACCATTGACTTGTGTGTGTGATGCAAGTGGAGTCTGTGGCCAAGCTGCTCCAGCTTAGCTGTGTGCATCTACCAATCTTGTTGTAGGGTTCAAAGCGAGTCCTGAGATCAAATGAATACGTCCTCCCGCCTGGTGGCCTGATGGAGACCGAGCTGGAGCTGACCTTCTCACTGCAGGTACCTTGTGTTGCCTGGTCCCCTGGGCTCCCTGGTGCTCCCCTCATCTGGCATTTCTCTGCAAGCACGGCTTTGGGAGCTCAGTGTGAAGGGGGTAGCCTCTGAGGAGGGGCCTCTTGTGGTTGCCCATGCTCAGATCATAACAGCACAGAATCCTGCTGCTGGCTGGCTGCTCCATTGCTCCAGGGGGTTGTTTTGCTGGGCATGGGGATTTGGAGGATGATGTGGTGTGCAGGTGGGCTTTGAGGGGCACCTCAAAGCTCAGCAGGTCAGGTCTTGCTGTACATCAGCGCTGAGGAAGAGTTTTCTACCTGTGTGTCACGCTAAGCCCTGCCCTCATGCTGCTATCTTTCCTGTGCTTCCCTTCCCCAGTACCCACACTTCCTCAAGAGAGATGGCAACAAACTACAGATCATGCTGCAACGGAGGAAGAGATACAAGAACCGCACGATCCTGGGCTACAAGACCCTTGCAGTGGGCATCATTAACATGGCCGAGGTACAGGGTGCTGGGAATAGAGGGGAGCTTTGCACGGCCTCCCTGTGCCAGCGCTGGGAAGGGAGCTGGGCTGGCTGGCTGGCGCTCGGTGCTGTGAGTGCTCTGTCTTGTTGGCTAGCTGTAAGACAGAGGGGGTGGGCTGCCAGCTGCCATTGTGTCATCCTGGCAGGGGGCTTGTCTGTCTGTCTAGGTGATGCAGCACCCGACGGATGGCGGGCAGCTTCTGGGCCTCCACAGCAACATGAAGGATGTGAACATCCGAGTGGCTGAAATCAGCATCTACTCTTTGTCCAGTCAGCCCATTGACCATGAGGACGGGAGCGTCCCCTCAGGTCCTAAAATCAAAGCTTCAGGTGTGTTAGTGCTCATCACAGACTTGAAGGCAAGCATTTGGGACAGGACATGGGTAACGGAGAGCGTCCCCAAGTGCCTGCCAGCAATACCAATCATTTCACTGGGGCTGTGACAGGTGTCATGCTTAGCTGTGGCATCTGCACTGTCTGCTTTCAGATCGCTCCCCAGACATTGATAACTACTCTGAAGAAGAGGATGACAGCTTCTCCTCAGAGCAGGAAGCCAGCGATGATGCTGTGCAGGGTCAGGTAAGGGAGGCCTGGCAAAGTGGCTTATGTCCTGGTCCCATTTCTGGGGCCAGTCAGGGGTTGAGGGTTTTGATCACCCTGAGCTCTCTCATCTCCCTTATAAACATTTGTCATGGTTTCAGAGGGCAGAGAGCTACAATACCTGACAGCAGGAAGAACTGTGGACTGCTATCAAGTCCATGGTGGGGCAAGGGACTTTGGAGAGCCATAGGTCTCACCCACCTGTTCTTGGGGCTGTCTGGTCTGCAGCATAAAACCCCTGCTGACCCCCCTCCATCTTGCACCACGATTCTCTCCCATGTCCCTGTGATAACAGGCCAGAGGTTGCCCTTTCTCAGAGAGAGAACAGAGATTTTTAGGAAGAAGTACAGTCTGGGTCTGAAAATAGTTAGAGGTGGCAGACCCATCCCAGCCCTGTGATGAGCTGTGCCACTGCTGTTTGCTGTCCTCTTGTTGTGGTGCCTACACTTAAGGCCAAAAAAGACTTGTAGCATGCTGATCAAGCACAGGGACAAACCCCTGTTCAGGGTCCTCCACATTGCCTGTCCCATCATGCAGGGTTAACGCATCAGGGCCCCATGTCCCTGGGAGCTGTGTGTGTTGTTGAGGCTGATCCCTGGAAGAACACTTTTTGTGAGCGCAGGTGCTGTGCCCACTGAGCTAACCCTGGAGAGGGGAGAGCAGGAGAACAACACATGGGTCATGGGGAGGCTGGCGAGTGCAGAGAGAAGAGTTTTAGGTTGTAACAAGGACTGTTGCAGAAAGCTACTGTCTCCCCTCTGAATCTTGCTGGTACACGTCCCTCTGGAGGGGCCTGAGGGCAGAGGCACTGGGAAAGAAGGTCTACTGGGGGACAGTGCTAAAGAGGGAGAAGGAGCTGCATAGAGAGGTGGGAGAAGTGAGAAGCAAAACTCTGGGAGCAGAGTGGACCAAAGTTTTTCAAAATGGGGGGCAAGTGTGGGAGAGGGGAACTTCTAGGAGATGCTGCTCCCTGCACTCTGAGTTGCTCTGATGTGATGTGACCTTTTGCCTGCAGGATCTGTTTGATGAAGAGGATGACTTGAGGAAAACCAAGAAGGCTAGGAGGAAAATGATCCGAACCACATCAATGACCAGAGTAACATCAGCATTTACAATGTGATCAAAGGGATGGAAGGGATTCACTCCCTCCCCTCCCTGCTGGGAGTGAGGAGGGTTTGGGGGGGATGCTGGCACTGGTGCAGAGCAGGGGAGAGAGCCCTTGGCTCTGAGAAGAAGGGGCAAACCTCTTGCCATTAATGAGTTAGCTTGCTGCTCAGAGCTGTACCCCAGCTCACAGTCCGTACTGTATTTAGCCTGGATTCCTATCAGTGATGATCTATGTACAACACAGTTTTGACTTGCTGCTGTGACATGGTCTCTTCTCTTTCCCTCTCTGAGGAAGGGGAAGGTTGGCACAAGGAAGGGTGAACCATTAGCAGCTCCTCCGCCTGTCAGCAGAAGTGGGGAGCTGCCCTGCCAGCCCCCTGCTCTCCAAGTATCTCCTTGTTCCCAGCTGCTTCAGCCCTGCAGGTCCCTGGGCACCTTCTTCCTGAGTTTGTCCCCTATCTTTTCTTGCTTGAAAGCAGCATTCCTCAACCAGGTGGTCTGGGGAGAAAGGGGATATAAATGGAGAGAAAGTGCTATTCCAGCCCATAGCAGAGACTGAGTCCTTGCACCCTCCCTCATTCCCAGATACAGTGGTTTCTTGTGGAGTCCGGATTTAGTCCAAATCCTACAGCAAATTTAAAGAGCAAGGGAGGTCACAGCTGACCTTGGGCCTGTGGACCCAGAAGGGAGCTGATGGCATGTTAAAGTGTGCAACCGTGGCCTGTATGTTAGTCATCTTGTAACACGGTTTGATAGATTTGCTGATCTTTTTTCTTCCTTTGTTTTGTTTTAGCAACCAAACTTCAAGCAGAAATTTGTGGCTTTGCTGAAGAGGTTTAAAGTGACGGAGGAGGTAAGAAGTGGGAAGGCTGTCCCACCTGGTGGTGTCTCCTGCAGATGTGTAGGTGTCAGAGTGCTGGTTCTCACTCACTGGGAGCACAAGGCATGAGCTGCAGGTGCTCAGGGGTGTTAAAGGTGGTGTGAGACCACTGTGTGGCACAGACTGGGCCTTGGCTTTTCCAAAGCCTTCTACCCCAAGAAGGCAGCTCTGAGCCTCATGCTCAAATAAAAAACACCTTCCTGCTGGGGAGAGGGGCCGGGGGAAGAAGGGTGCTGTCATAGACTGGCTCTGCCCCAGGAGCTGGCATTGCAGGGTCAATCCTGTTCACAAATGAGAGCAGGCTAACATCAGCCTGTGGGTAGCTGGCTTTGGCTGGGAGCCTGGACTGAGTGTGCAGCACAGCCTGTGAAGGTCCTCCCAGGTGTCTTAACTCCTAGTAAGTATGAAGGGTGTCTGAGACTGCTTCGGATGTCATGCTCATGGCACCCTCCTTTCGCCCAATGACAGTGTCACTTGCTTCTTCCACAGCCTGGATTTGGCTCCCTGAGGTGGGAACGGTGCTGTGGTGTGCCTTGTGGCTGGGAGGGAGCTTTTATGTGCCTGGCCTGGGATGCAGGTGACTCCGTATCTCTTCATTGCCCTCTGGGCATGGTCCCACAGGTCCTGGACTCTGACCCTGTAGACCAGACCCAGGAGGTGGAGGAAGACCTGGGCTTGCTCTATGACAGCCTGGAAGAGTGCAACAACAGTGACAGCGGCCCAGAGATTGAGGACAATGAAAGTGTGCACAGCACACCCAAGCCCACACTGAGGTAAGGGTTGCAGGGAGTCACAGGCCAACAGCGCAGTCTATGGGACCTGGAGAAATGCCCTCTGACACTTTCTGTTGCTTGGGCTAATGCAGGCGTTGTCTTGTCTCCACTCCCATTGCCGTCTTCTATTGGCACCGCTGAGCTCCTCAGTTGCATATCCTGTTTAGTAAACTCAAAACTGCCCATTAAAACTGGCTTCCTTCACATTTAGTCTCATTTAATTTCCTGCCAGACGAGCATCTGATGCTTACTGATCTGCTGGAAAAGTACTTACTTGATCTAAGCCCCTACTGTTCCCAGCTCTCATATCTTTCTGCTGGCAGTCCTGGCCTTCGCAGGGCTCTCCACACTGAAGCATGCCTGTCTTTTGAGCACTATGTGACTGCATAGGCCAGTCCTTGTGTCCCTGTGAGATCTGCATGCTGCATTCCGACCCTTTGTGGAGACATGTGGCTAGCAACCATCAGTGATATTCCTCATCCCATTCCCCAGGCACCCAGTGGCTTGACTCGCTCTGCCAAGCCCTGCTGACTTGGCACAGAGGTCTCCAGTGGACCATGCAGTGAAACCAGGCTTTTCTCCCATGTGATCTGCATTCACCTGGCCTCTCTGCTCATGGCTGTTCTGTTTCCGTGCTGTCCTTTTGTGAGAAAGTTGCCTTTTATTGTCTTTCTACTTGGCTGCCTCACAGTGTGCTGGGTCTCTTCTAGCCAAGCCAAGCTTACTTGTCATTATTATTTCTATAGTTCGGTATTTAAATATAATTTGGATTAGTTGGAATCCCTGCTGAAGGTACTTAGCAGGGGTAGCAGACTTGGTCTGCCGCAGGCAAACTGTTTGAAATTAAATCTGCTGGATTCAGGAACCCATGGGGCACTGGGGAAGAAACAGGAACATGACAGCAGTCGTGTTTTCCACAAATCCACAAGTCGTTGTGAAGGAGACAGCAGGCATGCGAGCAAGGGGGAGCTGCTTAGGTGGTCTGCTTGGACTCCAGAAGGAGTTTCACATGGTCTGTCTGATATCAAAGGAAACAAAGGCACTGTGGGAGAAAAAGGAAGGTCTTTTTGTGGTCAGTTAGTGGTTTATGCATGCAAACTATGTAAAACTATGTAAACTGTAAAAGTCTATTGAGAGTATTTAAATATAAGACCCTGCCCTGCTTCTGCAAGTGCCTGCTTGCGAACATCTGGTCATTGGGAGAGCATCCTAGAGGAACTGCTGGTTTGTGCTTGCACTTGCTGTTACAGTCTTCCTTGGGTGTTTGCTGCTGTCTCTGGTAGGACAGCCTATTGGGCCCTGGGCTGGTTTTCAGCCTGTTCATGAAGTGTCCCTAGCTTGGTTTGCCCTCCAGTGCCTCAGTTTCTGGCCGTGCTGAGTGTGTATCCCCTTGCAGTCACATTACTGGGTCTGTACTTTTTCTAAGGAGGTGTGGGACCTCACTGCTAAGGTCTTTAGTGTAGACTGCATGGTTCCAAGGCCCTGCATAGCCTTCTCAGCTGGGGATGACCTTCCAGTCCAGCCTGTAAATTCAAGATGTGATCCTCATGTTGGATTTATTTATTGTCATAGACAGCCTTGCTAGACACTGTGAAGGTCTGTGTGGAGCAAGGGCATTAAAGTAGCCCTTAAGGGTGAGCAGTGGCTGGTGCACTGGATTGAGCCAGTGGCGTTGGGAACAGATAGCCATCCTTTTGATCAGCCGTTGGGGCCACGCAGCTGTAGGCTGCTCCTGCACTGGGGTGAAACTGGAGCTAGAGCTGAGGCTGTTAGGTAAGACCTCAACAGTCAGAGCCTTTGATTGAAGATCAGAGGTGAAGGAGCAAATGTCTCCATAGGTGACTGGGAAAATGGGTGGGGGAGAGGGGGCTAATTCATTGAAAACAGAAGGAGGCTGTGCAGAAGGGCTGGGATTTACATAAATCTCAACCTGCTGAGACTCAGGCTCAATCATGTCTATAGGAGAGCCTTTAAACTGCGCAACGGGGAAAGCTGAGAGCTGCAGAAGAGCTCTGTGCTCAGTGTGACATATCCTCTAGGGAAGAAAGCTTCTGAAATGCAAGTGAGAGAGGACAGAAACAGACACAGCTTCCATGGGGAAGGGGGAGACAGCCCCATTTAAATGAGGGATTGAAAGCCACACCAAGTGTATACAATCTAGACACATCCAATGTCTAAGAAAAAGGAGGGGATGAAGATACCTTTTTGAGATGCCAATGGCACCAGGGGTATGTCATGTTCTGGTGAGATTACTGGGACAGTACAGAGGAGTGTGGGACAGATGCTGATTGGGGAGTGAATTATTAGAAAACGTACATATTTCTCTGGTTTGACTCTTAAGTTATTAACATAGTCTGTATGGATTGAAATTGCTGGCTGAGAAAAGGCAGGTGTAGAATAATGACTGTACAGGGTGGTGACAATGCCTGAGATCCCGTAGCAGAGATTGGAGAGGTGGAGAGAGCTGAAATATATTAATAACAGGAGACATCATTTACCTCTGTGTGACCTGGAGAAAATGTCCCACCAGGGCACAATGGCACAATTCCAAGTCTAAACCTGGAGCTTTGGTAAATGAACGTGTCGTGAAGCAGCTGGTCATGGAGCCAGTGAGAAGAAAATCAAGCCTTGACTTCCCCCAGCCAGTGTATAAACACTGCTTCTGAATTGCTGCTCTGTGGTGGGGGCCATCATTTACTGAGGTGAAATGTCCTTGTAGAAGCAGTAAAAGCAAAGAACCTGACAAACACTGTTGTGCCTGGCAGCACATTGTGCTGTATACAAATAAGGAAACATGTTAAAAGGACAGTAAAAGGAGCAGCCAGGATGTTCAGAGGTCTGTAGGTATCCTGCAGAAAGCTGCAGATACCTCCAGTTGAGGACAGTGGAAAACAATGGAAACTCTAGCAGAGTCCTAACAGAAGAACTGCTCTATATCCTAAGCCTCTGCGGCCGTCCCTGGAAACCTGCAATCTGGTATCCCCATCTGCACACCAGGCAAATCAGGAGAAACTTTTCCTGGGAGTTAGTGAGCAAATACATGCATACAGCTTAGAGGGAAGCTAGCTCAGATCTCCTGCAGGAAAGTCACACATTGCAGATGGGCTGCAGTTGCTGCAAGGGTCCTGGGAAAGCTGACAGGTGAGATCCAGTGATAAAGCCTGCTTGTTTCCTAAAGACTGGTCTTTGAGCAGCCCACAGGATGTGGAGAGGGTCCTTGGCAAATAAATAATGGATGGAAAAAGGGGAAACAAAGGTGGAAGCTCACACTGTGGTGGCAGAGCCAGTCCTGCTATCCCAAGGGAGTTCCTGTGTTGACCATTGTGACTTGGAAATGGGACCTTGGAGTTGCACGGTGCAGCTCTACCAAAACATCAGCTCAGAGACCTAAAAAAAGGCAAATTTAAGTGCTGGGGAACAAGAGAGGACATTGCTGTGCTGCTGTGCTACCTGAGGTGTGGTTCTGTGTGCAATACTGTGGTCTTCAGAGCCTTGGGAAAGGGGAAAGCAGAAAGGGAAGGTGGAAGCTGCTGCTGGAAGTGTGCAGCAGCAGCAGTCACAAGCAAGGAGCTCTTCCTGGAAAAGGGGGAGCAGAAGGGAAGGCAGCAGAAATCTGTGGAAGCTGTGGTGGTGCAGAGGGGGCAGAGAGGTTCAGCAGCACATTGGAGTTGCGGTGTTGACAGAGACCACATACCAGTGAGATGGGACAAGGTGGCAGTTCCTCACCCTGCACTGCAGTGGTGGGGGATCACCTGAGAGAGAAATCGTTGCTGGCTAGGAGACAGGGACCCTGCCTCCAACTCACTGGGGTCACAGGTCTAGTCCTGTTGGTCTGGGGTGGCCCCATCCTGTCCGTGCACCCAGCATTGTTGAGCAGACCATGGTGTGTGGGTCTGGCGGTCTGCTGGCAGGTCTGCATCTAGGCTGTGAGTTGCTCGGACACTTGGGTGTCTGGCCCTGTGTCCCACTGGGGACCTCTCCACAGTGCTTTGTGCTTGGGACAGGCTGGCGGGGGTGCACTGGGATCATGGTGACTTCGTTCCTCTCTTATTCCTGCCTTTTTCTCTCCCGTCTGTCTGTCTGTCCGTCCGTCCGTTCGTCTGTCTGTTTCTCTGCAGGCGTTTCTTTGAGGGAGTCTCTCATTCTGGTTCCCAGACTGAGATCGGCAGTCTGCACAGCCAGAAAGGGCAGGATCAAGAGTCGGGCAGCCCTGTGAGTTATACCACCACCACCACCACCACCTCTTGCCCCCTTCCCTCCCCAGCCAGCCCAGCATCCCCGCAGTGCCTGCAGCTCCCTCTGAGACCACAGCTCCTGGCAGCACCTGCCTGGGGCTGCTCCTTCCCTTCTTTCCTCTTCTTTTTCCCAGCGCAGGCAGACAGGTAGTGATGGGGGGCATCCTCTGGGGCCGGTCCCAGGGGGACGTCGGGCTCCCCTGTGGGAGCGTGTGTTCTGTGAGGCCAGGCATGGGTCACTGGCAGCTGCCCTGCTCGGGGTGCTCCATCCTGCTCTGACCCTACTCCATGTCCCCCAGGGTGAGGCAGACAAGCGGAAGCCGGGAGTGCTGCGACCGCAGGAAGAGCCAGGGGTGGAGATCCCTGCAGTGGTGAGTCCAGGCTATGGGATGTGGAATAGGGCTGGAGCTCCCTCAGACCCCACCTTGCTTTTTGGGGTACCGGGGGTGCCCACCAGCCTGGGAGCAGGGCTGGGGGGGGACAAGTAGACTGGGCTGGAGAGCAGGGTTAGGGTCTGCAGAAGATGCAGCCCAGCCCCCTCAAGGCCCTGCAGCCTTGGCTCTCCAGCAGGGCCACCAGCCTTATCCTGGATGGGGGCACCCATGGGTGCAGGGAGCAGGGCAGGGAGAGTGACGTGTACGACATGATTGTGTGTGGCCCTCAGGAGCTGGCTGCAGAAGAGCCATGTTCACGGCTGGCCCCCGCAGAGGCTGCCACGAGGGAGGGCAGCGTGGACAGGCTGGCCCAGCTGGGTCCTGGAACCAAAGCCGAGCTCCCCAGTGCCGTGTCCCCCAGGTAAGGTGGGTCTGTGCCCCATGCCAGGGCTGAGAGGGCTCACACTGTCTCTCTGGAGTGAGCGGGGGTTGATGGAGATGGGATTTCCTCAACGGTGTTGCCTCTCCTGCTTCTCGCTCACAGTAAGGCAGACAGCAAGCAGTTGTGGCGTCCCCGCAGCACCTCTGTGAAGGACCGGCAGAGCTCAAAGGGACAGGGTGGCCGCGCCAGCAGCTTGGACAGCGAGAGCTCTCCAGACTCATGGCACAGCACGCAGGTGAGGCCCTGGAAGCCACCTCACCCGGAGGCTTCTCACTCGAGAGCCCTTCAGCCATGGGCAGAGCAGCCAAGGCAGCTGGTTGGCATTAACCTTCGTGGTGATGCTGTCATAGGTGCCCCGAAAGTCTGTTTATGATCAGCTGAACCAGATCCTGGTCTCAGACGAGCAGCTCCCTGAGAGCATTGTGCTGGTGAATGTCGCCGAGTGGCAAGGGCAGGTGAGTAGGTGTGACGGGAGCCGGGTGCACGAGGGGAGCTGTAAGCAGGATCCCAGGGGATTCGCCCAACCACGGCAGGGTGTCCTAAGGAAACTGGCACCAGCTGTGCCCTCCTCTCCCCCGGGTGGCCCTTCCTCTGGGGACACAGTGCATTTTCACAGTGCTGAGCTACAGGCACAAGACTCTGGCACGTCTTCTCTGTCACATGCCACACACCAGCATTGCTGGATCCTCAAAGCACGATGCCCTGAGCAGTCCCAGGAAGGCTGGTTAATGGACTGTACCTTGTGCCCTCACTGTTTGGTCCTGGCTCCCAGTGACTGCACTGGTCAGAGCTTTGTTGGATGCCCTGGCAGAGGTGCCAGACTCCCTCTGCTCTGCCACCAGGCCCTGGGAAGCAGCAGAGGTGCCATTTCCCACTCAGAGATGGGAGAGCATAGCCCACCGCTCCCAGGGAGCATTAACTGCATTGTCAGAGCTGGGATCTCTGGGCAGGGAGGCATGTGAGGCTTTCCTGCCTCATGCTGGTCACCATCGCGTCCGTGTGAGGACGGACCTAGCCCCTGACGAGCACCTGCCTCCCCCATGCATGGAGTTGACTGCTGAAGGTGAGCAGGGCCATGTATGTGTGTGCAAACACGCAAACAGCAGTTAAATAAAGCACAGGCGAGACCCCTTTGGGATCCTGCAGCTACATCTGACATCTAGAAAGTGCTGGAAAATCAAGGAGGGCTTTGTGGCAGAAGAAAGGGCTTCTCAGTGAGAGGTGGTGGAGTCTTGACCCAAGCCGTGCAATCCTCGGCATGTTCCTGCTCTAGCTCTTGTGCTGATGGGGAAAAAAGGAGCGATGCCCATTTCCAGACACTGCTGTCATGGCATCTTCTAAGCTCCCTTGTCTAGCATGACTGCCTGTTTTACCACTGTTCAGTTACACGCAGACACCTGAAGAGGCACAGAAGGATTTTGCAGTGCCACAGTGGGAGAGAGCAAGAGAAAGGAATGAGCAGAGGGGGACTGAGCCTAGAGCTGGGCCCTGCTGTGGGACAGCAGGATTTAAATCTGAGGGTCCCTGGACCAAACCCTTTCTCTCAAGGAGCACAGCCTGGTTCTTGGGACAGAATTGCTCTTGCCATCGCAGGGTGGTGACTGCTGTGCTCAAAGGCGAGAGCAGGGGGCTAGTGCAGCCAGCCCCCTGGAGCAGAGCTGGGAGGAGCAGGGATGCTCAGGCATGCAGCCAGGGATGACCTGGTGGTTTCAGCCTCCCTGCACAGGCATGGGTGGCGACAGGGTCCCCAGCTCTATTCCAGGAGGCACGGGGGCCAGGGCAGACATGGGCTGGTGCTGGCCAGCACAGCCATGCCCCCCACCCCAGGGTACCTTAACCCAAGCTCTCTGCATTGGCAGTACGTGAGTGAGCAGCTCCAGGCGCACAAGCAGTTGGTCGTATCCACCTGCTCCGTGGCGGACATCCAGGCAGCCTTCAACACCACTGTCTCCCGCATCCAGCGATAGTGAGTATGGGTTGGGCTCGGCCTGGCAGCTTCCTACGACTGCAGAGAAGGGCTGGGAAGGGCCCTGGCTCCCCCAGGGCTTGTTAGGACCCTTTGGGATTGTGGACACAACTATAGGAGCCGGTATAGGCCCTGGGGAAAACGGGGGATCCCAGGGCTGGTTGTGCCCATGGCAGCGCTCAGCAAGCTGGAAGTTGTCAGCAATGGGTTTCTGATGCTGGGTCAGCTGGCTCGGCAGGGCACGTTCCCTGCCCCCTGAGCCACTGCGTGTCCCTCACAGTCTCCTTTTCTCTCCCTTTGGCAGCTGTAACTGTAACTCCCACATGCCTCCCCCGGTGAAGGTTGTGGTGGCGGGCGACCAGAGCTACCTGAGCGTTGTCCTCCGTTTCTTCGTGGAGCAGCTGGCCAGCAAGACACCCGACTGGCTCAACTACCTTCGCTTCCTTCTTGTGCCACTGGGTGAGAGCCACCGGGAGCCGAACCCCAGGGCTGTCCTCTCCCACCATCCCGGGCTCCCCTGCCTGGAGCCAATCTCGCCCTTCTCACCCGCAGGCTCTCACCCTCTGGCCAAGTACCTGGCCTCGGTGGATAACAAATACAGCACTCTCTTCCTGGACACGGCATGGCGGGAGCTGTTCAGCAGGGCTGAGCCACCCATCGCAGGTGAGGAGCGGGGCAGGCTGGGGCCAGCAGCGCCTCGAAGGGGAGCCCAGCTGCCACCAAGACCCTCACGGCTCTTTGCGCCCGCAGACACTGTGGACATCGCGGGCCGCGTCGCCCAGTTCATCGCCGGAGCCAGCCTCTCTCACCAGCTCCCCATCTCTGAGGCCATGCTGACGTACAAGCAGAAGAGGTGAGTGTGGTCCCGGGGAACCTGTCCTGCCTTGTGTGGCCTCAGCCAGGGCTGTGGGAGACGGGGGACAGGCGAGTGATGCCTCGTGCTCTACTCCGCCGGCAAGCAGCGTGGTGCTGAGGGGAGCTGGGGTTCCACAGTGAGAGGCCTGCAGCGCCGTTCCCCTGCCACCCCCTGATGCGCTCGGCCCCTCCAGTAGCTGTGGGCTGTGACAGCCCCCAGCAGTGGGAACTGGCTGCCAGGGCTGGGCTGGGCTGGGGACCGCGAGCTGGCACTGTGCTGCCCAGGGGTTGACGCTCGTGTTTCAGCTGCGCTCTCACCTTTCCCTTCTCTTGGTTTCTGGCACCCAAGGAAGAGAAGTCTCTATTTTGATTTTTATATCAGGTATTGGCTTGTGCTTGCTGTGCCGCTGCCTGGCCCCCCCCCCCCTTTCTCCCCATGTGCGTCCATCCCTCTTGCCGTGCAGAGGAGCCGTGACCCCAAAGCGGGGCAGGGCTGCCCTCCCGCATGCAAGCCCTCTCCCAGCACTGGAGGGGCCGACTCCTTGCCTCCTTGTGTAGTGTGCCCTGTGCTGCCATGTCGGGGACAGGGGGTCCCATGGGAGGGAGGGCAAGAGCAGACTGTCCCAGTGGCCGTGAGCCAGCGTTGGCCCCAGCCAGTGCGGGGGTCCCTGGGCCACAAGGCTAGGTGTATGGCACACGGTGCTCAGCACACCCAGACCCTGACCAGCCTCTCTTCCATGTGCAGCCCCGACGAGGACTCCTGCCAGAAGTTTGTACCCTTTGTGGGGGTGAGTGCGTTGAGGGGCCAGCAGGCAATTGGGGCTGGGGGGGGCGGAGAGGGGAAGTGCACAGCCCTGCTGATGCTGGGGATCATCTAACTCATCTGTCCTTGCAGGTGGTGAAGGTGGGCCTGGTGGAGCAGTCCTTCAGCGCCTCTGGTGAGTCCCTGGGGACCCCCAGTCCCTGGCTCCCTTCTCCACTGCGTGGAGGCCCTTGTTGGTACCCCTCAACCCCCCCCACCGACCCACACTCTTCCTCCCCAGTGGACTCGGATGATGCCACAGTCTGCACCCCCTCCCTGCTGAGCTCAGCGCCAGCCGCAGGTGGAGCAGCCCCCTATGGCAAGGAGACCGTGAGCACCCCACCGCCATCCCCATCCGTCAGCAGTGGCCTCTCAGGTGCCGGGTAAGGAAGCCTCACGCAGTCTGAGGCAGTGGGTGCTGGGGGTGGCGGGGTGGGAGGGTTTGAGGTGCTCGCTGGCGAGGTTGCCACATCCCGGGGTTATCGGGCCAGTGTGCGGCTGCGTGCTCCACGCTGCTGCCCGTCTTGCCCAGGTCTCTGAGCCCCGGTGTGGAGGTGATGGGCCTGCAGGTGGACTACTGGACAACACAAGGGCTGGAAAGGAAGAAGGAGGGCGAGAAGCGGGAGACGGGTATCAAGAACACGCTCAAGAGCAACTTCCGCTCACTCCAGGTCAGCCGCATCCCCGGCACGGGGGAGCTGGTGCCCCCGAGCACCATGGCCATGACCGTGGTCACCAAGGAGAAAAACAAGAAAGGTAACCAAGCCCACCCTGGGGTGCTCTCTGGACTGTGGGGGCCACAGTCTGTTGCAAAAAGGGCAGGGGGGGGAGCCCGCAGGAGGGCAGGGCTGAGACCCGGCCCAGCAGGGGCCAGTCAGTGCAGCCAGCCCTGGGGTGAGGGCTCCCACCCAGGGCCAGGTGGGGATATCCTAACACTGGTCCTGTCTGTCCTCGGACCCCAGTGATGTTCCTGAGCAAGAAACCAAAAGAGAAGGACTTGGAACCCAAAAGCCAGGTCATCGAAGGGATCACACGCCTCATCTGCACAGCCAAGCACCAGAACACCATGTTGCGAGGTGAGGTGCAAGCCCCACGGGGCTGTAGAGGGGGGAGCAGACGAAGCAGCTCAGGCTGCCTGTGGCAGGGCTGCACCTCACTGCACCCTCTCCCCTCAGTCTCCATAGATGGGGTGGAGTGGAACGATGTGAAGTTTTTCCAGCTGGCGGCACAGTGGCCAACGCACGTCAAGTACCTCCCTGTGGGCATCTTTGGCTACTCAAAGAGCGTGTGAGACGCAGGGGCTGCCCAGGGATGGAGCTGCGGAGGGTCGCAGGAGGAGACAGGGAGACAGAGACAGACTTGCTCTTGTCCCCTCTCTGCTGCGGCCCAGCCCCTGCCTGCTCTGCAGAGGGAGATAACACACCCGCACCGCTCCCTGTGGGCCAAGACCCGTGAAGGTGAGGCCAGTGAGACCGGGTCCGTGCACCCTCCAACACCAGCCAGGGCACCACGCCATCTGCCTCCCATGACCCCCAAGAGCAGCCTGGGACAAGGGTTGGCACCAGCCAGCAGGGACCCAGAAAGGGCTCTGGGCCCCACTTTTCCCCCCTGACATGCCTGCCAGGCCAGCTCCCCAGCCAGCCGGGGCCCCAGCTGGGCTGGGCCCAGGCATGTTCCCCAGCGCTGGAGCCAGCAGGATTGCTCCTGGGGGGATGCAGGGCCCACCAACCTTGTACCGCCCCTTGCCAGCCCCACTGCCAGCCTCAACGCTGCTGTGCCCGGCCCTGCCCCACAGGGCTGAGCCTCAGCGGCTTTTGTAGTCCCCCTGCAGCCCTGCTGCCAAGGCTGGCAGAGCAGAGCGCGGCTGAGGCTGTCCCCCTCATTTCCCCATCCCTTCCCGACCAGCCCTGCCCCACGGTGCTGCCAGCTGGAGGTGTGGCATGGGGGCACCTGGGTTTTTTTTTTACAAGATTCTATTTTTTTTAAATTTATTGTACGGTTACTTTTCGGGATTAATTTTAATAAATTAATGCTGGTACCATTACGGCAGGGGCGTGTGTGTGTCCCTCCATGCCTGAGGAGAGAACGCGTAGGGGCAGGGTGCGGCTACTACCACCACTCCAGCAAGCACAGCTCTCAGGGCTGTTGAACCATGTTCCATGCCATGGGCCAGCTGAGCTCTCCGACAGACTACGACCTGGGCCTGGGTGGGGCTTGGCTCGTTTATTTAAAACAAAACCCACAAGAGACAGGCTCGACTCAGCCCAGCCAGGTCCTTGTCTACCTGAAGGTGGAAAAAGTCTGTCTCTTTTCAGCAGAGGCTGGGCTTGCTGCTGTCTTGATTTCTACAGTCTGGAAGGCAACCTGGGGCTGGACCTGGGAGGTAGGGGGTGTTGTGGGTTCAGCAGAGATGTATTCCAAGACATGAGGCCTCTCCTCCTGGCGCCGGAGATAGCCCTGGTTCAGCAGGTGCAGGACACAGGACAGCACATCCACGCTGTGGCAGCAGAAGCTCAGGAATCGCAGCCCTGGCCCCAGCTCACCCTTCTGGCAGGCATCAATCACCTACAGCAGCAAGGGAGCCATACGCTGCAGCACGGCGCAGCACCCGGGTGGCCCCTCTCTGCCCACCCCCCTGAGCCCTCCATACCCTAAACACCAGGTTGTCAATGTGGAGCTGCTTCTCCAGTTTGAGGATGCGGGTGATGAGGCAGCAGAGGACGTTCCTCTTCCTTTCCAGGGCGCTGACGTCAGCCCTCTCTGCCCGCAGGTACCTCTGCCGGGGCAGCAGCCTCAGGTGGCGGCCAGAGGCACGGGCCAGGGCCGCCTGGTTCAGCCGCAGCGCACCTGGAGCTAGCACCCGACCCAGGGTCAGCCGAGCCCCGAGATGGGCCCTGAAGGAGCCCCAGGACCCCCGCAGGGCTGTCGGACCCGACCGCGGGCCTCCCACTGCTGCCTTCGCAGGGGTCAGCCCCATCCCCGGCCCCCCCAAGCGACAGCCGCACGCACAACCCCTGGCCCCGGTCCCCAGCCCCACGCGCAGACCCGAAACCCAGCCACCCACGCACCGGCAGACAGACTCGCCTCCCCTACCCCAGCACCCCCCAGGGGTGCCCCAGCCCCACGCTCACCTCCCGGCGTGCAGCTCTGCACCAGGACGCCCTCGCCGTGGGTCAGCGGCGTCAGCGCGTGGTGCACCAGGTCAGCGGGGAGCCCCGTAGCCTGCAGCAGGGCCTCCACGGCCACCTCCTGCAGGAGAGCGCGGGAGGGGAACGGCCAGCCGAGACCCACCAGCCGCAGGTCCAGCCCCAAAGACCGCCGGAGACCCCGGCAGAAGGGAGGACACGGCCACGCCACGCTCCGGCATCCGCCGCCTCCCTCGCCCCGCCGCGGCCCCGGCTCCTACCTCGGCGCTGTTGAAGCACAGCAGGATGTACATCTGCAGCGTGGACACGTGGAGGACGCAGTCTCCAAACCGCAGCTCGGCGTGGCCCAGCCACGTCCACTGCAACCGCCGGGGCTTCGTGCACTCCCAGCCCAGCTGGCTCTGGCCTGCCAGAGACGGCGTCAGCGCGAGGGCCGGGGGCCAGCTCTGCCGGGCGCTCCCAGCACAGCCCAGCGCTCCTGCGGAGGACCCGGGCCCCGGCGAGCCCCGTGCCCGCCACCGCGACACTCACTCCGCCGGCAGAAGTCGGCGAATTCGTCCAGCGGGGAGCTCAGCGCCGCCGAGAAAAACCTCCCGGGTTCATCCATGTAGCAGAACGGGGAAACGGGCCAGCAGCGCGGGGACAGGGCTAGCACCTTCACCTCTGGCCCGTCCGCCGCCGAGGCCGTCCCCGGTGCCTGGGCACGCGGACACGAGGGCGGCTCAGAAGAGGCCCCCGGATCCCCATGAGGAAGGTGGGCAGCCCCCAGCCTCCCCGCCCCACCAGCGCGCTACCTCGTCCAGGTCCGTGTCCAGCTCCAGCAGCCGCTTGTCCCGCTCCTGCAGCTGGAAGAGGTAGAACTGCTGCTGGAGCTCCTCCGACTCGGCCAAGTTGCTCAGCATCTCTTGGGGGAAGCGGCTGGGGAAGCACAGCCCGATCTGCTCCACGATGGCTCCTTCCAGCCACGACGGCCCTTGCGCCAGGAGCCGGTCCCCCAGGTAGTGCCTGCCACAGCCACCGGCGTCGGGTCAGGGGCCGGCCCGAGCCCTGTGGCCATCGGCCGGCCGGCAGGAGAGGGAGACGGCCCCGGCTCTGGCCTCACCCCGAGGCGCACGGGCCCGGCAGCACCCGTCTCCCCTCCCCGTCGCCAGCAGGGAACGCGCCTCCGCAGACCGGCAGCGCCCGTGGGCCCTCGCAGCCTTTCCTCCGCGTAAGCAAAGCGGGAGCACCACTGCCGCGCCAGCCCGGGCTCAGCCACGGCCTCGGCACCGCCGTGCCAGGCCCTCGGGTCCCGTGGCGACCTGGCAGGCCCCCGCCCCTCACCGGTAGAAGTGCTCGAAGGTGTGGGCGAGCTCCAGGCCGCTGAAGACGACGAAGGGCTCCAGGATCCGCTGCAGCCGCCGCAGCGGCCCCACGCTGCCCGCAGCCCCGTGGAGCTCCTGGATCTGCACATCAAGGTAGCGGGCGAACTGCTCGCTCACCTGCGGAAGGGACGGGGCTGGCTGCGGAGGGGGCTCGCCGGGTGGCCGCAGGGCCAGGCTGGGGGAACGGCCCCGGGGGGAGCACCCGGCAAACCCCGGGGCGCTCGGGCAGGGGGGCTCTCAGGTGCCCAGGCACCAGGTCCGGGCAGGAGCGTGCCAGCCCCGGCGCCACGCTCCCTCGACTCACGTGCAGGGTGGTAAGGAAGGAGAGCTGCAGCAAAGCCCCCGCGAAGCCCTGGCCCAGGGCCAGCACGAAGGCGGCCTGCTGCCCGAAGAGCTCCTCCGTGGCGCCGCGCAGGCGCTGGTACAGCCCGCAGTATCGCTCCACGAGGTCCGGCGCCTGCCCCGCCGCCTCCAGGAACCGCTGCACCTGCAGGATGCGGCGCGACAGGGCTGAGCCCCGCAGCGGGACGTGCCCGTCGCCTGCGGGAAGGTCCGCGGCCGCAGCCTCGCTCCGCCGACGCTAACCGCCCAGGTCGCGGCCGGGGCATGACCTGAGGCCCCGGTGCAGCCACGGGCGACCGAGAGCTTGCGGCAAGGCGGGAGCGCAGCCCCGAGAGGTGGGCAGGGGCTGCGGGGGGCCAGACAGCAGCCCAGCAGAAAATAAGTGGCCTGACGCCATACCCGTCTCCCGGCCTGAAGCACGAGCCCTGCCAGGGTGGTGAGCACAGCGGGGCTGCCCCCACACCCCTCCGGGCCCCACCGAGGCCAGGAACAGCCCCACTCCCCACTACGCCCACCCGGTGCGGCGTCCCACGCGCCCTCTCCGGCCCCCCAAGCTCTACCTGCTGCTGCACCACGCCACGCCAGCACTGCGAGATGTCCCGCAGGCTGCTCGACTTCTCCACCGCCACCTTCGCAGCCCTGGCCGGCACCTCCTTGTTCTTCCCCTCCTTCCCGCCTGCCGAGGGACAACCCCGGGCTCGGCACGCTGACCGCCAGCGGCCTTCCCCTCTCCCCGGGAGCGCAGGGCAGAGGAGATGCCGGGAAGACACGGCCACGAGCCCAGGAGCCTCCTGTGCCACGGGGCTCCCCGTGGCCACAGCCTGGTGCTCGGGACCACCCCTCGCCCAGCCCCACGGGAGGGCAGCCCCTCGCTCACCGGCTGTCCTCGCCTCCTCCGGCTCCAGGCCGCCGCCGGGGTCCACGTGCACCAGGAGCTGGGTCAGGCGCCGCACACGGGAACCAAAGACGGCACCGCGGCTCGCGGCGCAGCCGGGCGGCTCCACGCTCTCCAGGTACTCGCTCAGCAGCCAGGCCAGGGGGCTGATGCCGCACGGGTCTGCGAGGCCAAGCGGGCTCAGAGCCGGGTGCCGCAGCCTGGGGCACGGCGCCGACGGGCCCGGGAGAGCGCGGGGTACCTGGGCTGGTGATGCTCTGCACCAAGGGGTTCACCAGGGCCTCCCAGCACGTCCTGCCCAAGGCGCGGGCCGCCTCGTCGTCGGGAAGGAAGCGGTCGGCGAAGCCCTGCTCGTGCTGCAGCGCCCGGTTCAGCCTGCAACAGCGACCGGGCACCTGCCGACGGCTGGGGGGATCCCCCCGGGAAAGCAGAGCGCAGCCGTCGCTCCCCACTCTGTACCTCGCCAGGCTCGGCGGCCCCCACCAAAACGGGGGGCTGCGCAGCGCCTGCAGCCGCGAGATCCTGCCTGCGCCTGCCCCTGCGGGCCGCCTCTCTTGGGGGGGTGAGCTGCGCCCACATGCGCAGCTTAAACCTGGGGGAGCCCGAGGTGGCCCCGGCCCTGCGGGACACCCGGCTGCTCCTCTCCCGGCCCCGCAGTCACCCTCACGAGCTGTGAGGGGACGCGATGGCATGGGCAGGAGACGACCCACCTGCCGAAGAGCTGCAGCAGTCGCCCCCGGTCACGGCAGATCTCCTGGCACCAGGCGTGAGCCCGAGCAGTGCAGGAGAGGAACGTCCGCCGGCACAGCTGCTCCTTGAAGATGGGCCAGAAAGTCGGCTTGGGACCCAGCACCTCGATGCCACGCACACGCGTGTCGATGCCGCCCTGCGGGAGAGCGCGACCCTCAGCTCCTCAGGCCCCCGATGCCCCGTGCCGCCATCTCCCCGGCCCGGCCCCCGCTCCCCTACCTGCTGGCACCGCTTCACCCGGATCTGGATGACGGGCCAGAAGCGGGTCATGTTCTCCAGCAGGATCACTCTGCTGTCCGAGGGCAGGACGGTCACCTGCAGGCAGACAGCGAGCCCTCAGCACCCCAGGCAGTGAGCGCCAGCCACCCTGCATGCCCCCCGGCCACCCCCCTTTAAAGCCACGGCCTCCGTACCCCCCGCCAGCCACGGGGCCCCGCTTCTGCCTCGCAGCCCCAGCACGCCAGCCTGCTGCCGACCGGGCTGCTGCAGGGCTGCCTGTGCCCAAGTCTACGGCCAGGAGGCTGCCGCAGCACCGCTCCTGCCATCCCCACCTCCCCATGGGACACCTCCCAGGGCCCCGCGCCGGGGCGAGACCTTCACGGGGCACAGCGAGGACCGGCCTGCTGCTCCTGTGGGGCACCACGGCCCGAGCGGCCCCGGCGAGACTCACCGCGTTGAGCTCCGTCCTGACGGTGGCTGGGCTGTCTCCCCCCAGCACCACGACGCGGGCCGGCATGTAGCTGGAGTCCTCGCTGGCCACCAGCATGCTCATCTCCCTGCGGCACAGCAAACGCGGAGCTGCCCCGCCGTCCCCGCCAGCCCCACGCGCCGCTGCCCG